TGTGTAGTGGACAGTGATGATTTTTAGCTGGCATGAGCATTTGGTGGCTAAATTCCTGTCTGTCAAGACTGTGGAATGTGCTGGACTTTGTTGGCTGCAGAATTGTTTCCTTGTTTCTTTTCCCTCGCGGATTTTCTTTTTTTTTTTTTTTTTAATCTGTTTATGCAGTTTGATAAAACTTTCACTTTGTACTTGCTGTAGGCAAGTTCTGTTAAAGCAGCTCCATCTGAGAGTGCTGGCCCTGGCTGTGGAGCTGAAGACCCAGATTTGGCACCAGTTGATGTGGATATGAACCTGGTAGCCAACCTGCTGGAATCCTACAGTGCTCAGGCTGGCCTGGCAGGACCCACCTCCAACATTTTACAGAGCATGGGAGTGTATTTACCTGAAAACACAGATCGTTGTGGCTCCAGCAGTTGAGCAGCACGGTTTGAGAGACTGTATGAACTGAGAAGACGTGGCTGGTGGAGAAATGAAGCACAGACAGACCAGCAGGGTGTGGAAGAAGACACAAAAGGTTTTAACTTAGGGCATTTTATGCATTGTGTGTGACTTCAGAGATGCAAAGTGAATCTGCCTGCAAAAGCCTTCTGTTTGGATGCTAAGGTGGAAATCAGAGCTTTCCAGTGCTAACACGGAAAACTGAGAAATGATGTTGGGACCTGAATGAGACTTTTATTACAAAACCTGTCTTGGATTTTTCAAACCAATGATCCGATCTGCCATCATTATAAAATGCCCTTTTACCTGTTACAGGGTGGTTTCAGTATCTGGAAAGCAGTTTGTGTTCTGAAAATGCTGCTGCCTTCAGGGGCAGCTGGGGAAATACCGTGTTACAGGAACATCTCATGGACTTGGGAACGCTGGTTAAATGTTCAGCAGACATTTGATCCTTCCCAAAAGCACAGTGCTTCATTGTAAGAACTTCTGATAATTACTGTAAGAGTCTGGACCTCATTAACCAGGAGGGTTTGCAGAGTAATTGGATCAAATATGTAAATATTGGCTAGAAGTATTTTTTGAGTTTTATTTCAGTAAAAGCAGAAATACAACTTGGTGACTGGAGACGTTTTTTTTCTTTTCCTTTGAAGGTATGCAGGACTTCCTCAGTGCAGTATCAGAAGTTCTTGGAGTTAAAGCATTTTCACAATTGGGCATTTTCCGAATTCCATTATTGCTGGATGTTGGCATCACGCCAGCAGTAGCTGTGTGTGAGCTGGACAGGCTGAACAGTTTAGGTTTGTTTTCCAGTGAAAATGTAGCTGGAGGGCGTGTGCAGCGTGTTGCTTTCACATGGAATCAGAAATCTATTCTAGATATGACGACTTTACCTTTAACAAGATACATTTGAATTAAAATTCTCGATTTGCAGGCAGTAAGAACACAGTCCTGCCAGGTCTGAATCAAGCTGTTTGTTTGTTTTAATTCAAGAATTAATCAAGTGCCTGAACTGGTAGAAGAGAAGCTCATTGGTTGAGTTTTTGTTTGTTGTTTGTTTGTGTGTTGGGTTTTTTCAAACATAGTATTCAATGATACAAAAGCCTGACTGACCCTGAAACCTGATTGCTTTTAGAGGACTGAATTATTATTATTAATGTTATTACTGGTCTAAATATTGGAATACAATTAGTTGAATTCTTTGGCTTAATATTTATTTTTTTTTAATGTCAAGTGTTGGCATTATTTTAATTGCCAAAGCAGAATGTAGCACAAGTTGTTTCCATGTAGGGCTTGGACACTTGCTGGATGCTGAGTTTGTGCCTGACTGCCATGACAACCAATGCACGGAAAATTCTGGCACAGCTTGGCATAGTTTCACTGAAATTCAGGACCTCGACAAGGTACAGTGGCTGCTTGGCTTCCCAGCTTCTGCTGACCTGTGCTCCCGGGTTTCTCCTTTTCCAAATGCTTGCTTGCTTTTGCAGATGACAAAAAGCTGGTAAAGTGCTCCAGTATAAGATAAATATTGGAGATTCTGCACGTGAAACGTGGTTGAAGGGTTGGATGTGCTGCCTCCACACCTGTCCTCTGCTGATGTTGTGTCACTGACTTCGTCAGCAGCTTGGGGAGAATGCTGACAAATGGGATAGGGATTAGAGATGGACAGCAAGAATGGGAAAGATGCTGCTAAAGTTCAAGGTGGGCTGCAGATCCAGTTAGACAAATTACACTGGGACACTCAGGCTAACAGGACTTCTGGGATCCAGCAGACATGGAGAGCCAGTGGTTAATCATGGAAAACAGATGTACCTGAGCCTTGAAAAGGGCTTATGTCTGAGCAGGGAAGGTACTTGGGAAAAGTCTCCACTGATGAGTACTTAAATCAAAGTTAGATACTGTAAAAATAATTGAGTTTCAAGAAGATGATCACATTCCACTCTCTGGTACTACACAAAAGGTCGAAACAGAAGGAAGGACTTTTCTGTTGTAGTATGTGAAGAAAACTTCTCAATTAATGTTCAGAACAAAGCTGCTCTTTTGGAAGCACTTCAGCTGATCTTGGTGGTTGGATAATCTCACTTCTCCATCAGTGAGACTGTGGTTTCTATTCCAGCTATTTACATTTGATTAGCAGCTTCACAGTGAAGGCCTTCAAGGCTCTGGAATCGCTCACAGGAGAGTTTGCCATCCAAGGATAAGCATTTCCATGCTGCCTCTTCACTGCTTTGAAGTAACATATGAGGCATCTCTGCTTTTAATTTTGGGAGTGTTTTTAGTGAGGGAGGCCTGATGGAATTAATTAGGGAAGACAAGTGCAGCGTGGTTCCCTTTCAACGGATTGCTATCAAAGTTTTCATTATATTCCAAAGCAGTTTGACTGGAAGTGCATTCCAACACAATTTACTCACTTTGCTCACTTGAGCAGCTGCCTTTTTGTGTAGCCTTGTTCATCCTGGAACTTGTGACCCTTCCCAGCAATGTGGTTTTCTTCTTCGAGCTTCACCCCTGAAGCCTGTTTAGTTGTTGAGTGGTAGATTTAAAGCAAGAAAACAGATAGTGGATCTTTCATCTTCCATATATGAGATCAAAACTAACCCCGGGGGCACGGCAGAGACCAATTTAAACTCTTCTGGATACCTGGGCACTTTGGCTGTTGCCACTCTTGCCACTGAGAAGCTTTCTGGAACAGTCTCAGGAGCCCTGGAACCCCTGTGCAAATGAACTGCTCTCAGCATCCCTGAGGTGTGAGTGCATGGCAGCCTCCCTGCTGCCATGGGAAACCACCTCCCTGCAGGACACCTGCCTGCTGCCCTGCCTTCCCAACACCTCGGGAATGACAGTCATCTCCAGGCACGTGGGAGTTGCAGCGGTGGAAAAGCATTTTTAGTGACTGTTTGTGCAGCTCCTGCTGCAGCTGCTTGTCTGAGAAACTGGAATTTGTTTTCCATAGCAGCAGGAGTCAGGGCAGGCCCTTTGTGCCACCTCAGGATCCCTTGGGATGCTGCAGAGGCTGCAGCAGCAGCTGCCCTCCCTCTTGCCATTTCTGTCTTTGGAGTGGAACACAAGAGCATCTGTTCTGGCACGTCCAGGATGGAAATTTATTTCTTTTTCCAGCTTGCTTTATTCCCCTAAGAAAACTCCTTGCCATGGAGGGCAGTTTGGGTTCTTGGCTTAAACAGCAGACTACAGAGCTAGTGAAAAAAGGGAGTTGTTCAACAATATGAAGTGGGGGGTGTGAAATCTTGGTGAGTATCTGCTCAATGTCATGGAAAAGAGTGTCATGAACAACTCAACTTTCTGATGTGAAACTGCAGCTAAGAAGTGAAGTGATTACCACACACAGAGGAATATCACAGGGTGTGTTAGTCCTGTGTAAAAGCGGGAATTGCTGTTGGGAATGGAGCTTGGCTCCAGTGGGTCAATGCTCCCAGATGGATCTTCACAAGGGGACAAGGATGGGAAGTGAAGAGCAAAGCTACTGTGAAGGTAAAGCTCATTTTATGCCCCAAAAAATTATGTAGGTGACGGAAAATGAGGTATTTCCAGTAAGAGTTCATAATTTGATGGGAAAAAGGACTAATGATACCCAGTGACTGCAGCATATTGATCTAAATGAGCTTAGACCAGACCTTTTTTCCACCTGGTGAGGGTTATTAACCTTACCTGCAGTTACAAGGCCAGTTACAGTGTTGGAATGTAATCCAGTTAATTTAGGCTTTCTCCATGCTGCATGCTCATAGCAGCCACGTTAAACTGTCAGACCGTGTGCGAATTTGCTTCTGTCCATACCCCAAGCCTCGTCTTTCTTCTTCTTTTCTGCTTCTTTTAATATAAAAGTAAACCTGCTGTGTCCCTTGGCAGTATTCCCACTAACAGAAATAGTGGAGAACACTGTCTAAAGGATGCTCTCTCCACTGAGCACAGGGCCCCAGTGGAAAAGGATGTTCTCTCAGCCTTTTCTGTCCCTGTGCCAGTGCTGCTCTCCCCATGAGGGAGCTGGGCAATCTGTATTTCTGCTCCTGGGATCTTTCTCCTGTTTGTCACAGCTGATGCCAGATTTTAGTTTCTCCATGCAAAGATGATTCTGGACATCTCTCAGTGCACCTCATTGCCTTCAAAATACCACTGATGGGTCTGAAAGGAAAATGCAAGTCACACCATCTCCAGGTTGGCAACACTGCCTCTTTCTTTCTTTTTAACAGAAGCATTTTTGGTGGTGCTGTGCTCATTCATTCCCAGGTGTATCCACTGCCACATGAATAACACTTGGCACTCTTTTTCCCCCTGACACAGCTGCTTTCCATCTGTGGCCGGGTTGGAAAGCGAGTCAGTTTTTGATGGGAGCTGAAGGCTGGGGCAGCTGAATTTGTTTGAGCAGCGCCTCAGAGTGAACAGAGGGATGGTACTTGTGTAATTACAGGTTGTTCTGACGACCTGTCCCTGGCAGCTGCCACAGCTGAGCTGCTCCTGGTTACCTGAGGAACGTTTCCCTGACAAATGGCTGTAGGAGGGTCACATTGTCGGGGTGTTCCATTAAGTGCTCGTGTCCTCTCAGGCTGAACATCCCGTTCAGAGCGTGTCCGCCGCGTCTCACAGGGTGAGGTGGTTCCTTGATGTAAGAGCTTCCTCCTGGACCTGTAATGCTGAGCTCAGATCTTCTGCCGCTCACAGTGATGACTGTCCCTCTGGGCAAGAACATGGGGCCTTTCCACGCAGCAGCAGAGCAGCCCAGGTGATGGGCTCACTCCACCCCATTTCCAGGTAAGATTCTTTTTGCTCCCTCAGTCAGAGATAGACAAGTTGTGGCTTTGGTTACTTTAATCCTCTGCTGGCACCTGGTAGAGATAAACATGACTTTTATACCCTGTTGCTTTTGGGAGGTAGGTGGAATGCTGCTCTGAGCCTGCCTGCATTGCTCTCCAAAAATTTCATGTTAATTGGATGAATGTTCTTATTTTAGAGCTGCCTATATTATTTTATATTCTGCTGATGGGTGATCCCTGTAACCAGCTGGGCTGTAATGGCCCAGGCTGGCAGCTTTTCAGCACTGCTCCCTTGCAGTCCCTGGAGGCAGTGGGGGCTCAGGGATTGGTAAGAACCAAGCATTCCCAAAGAGGATTCAGTTCAGGGATGTGTTCCTGAGAGGGAAATATGTTGCTCCACCCCTTTTGCCTGCTGATACCTTTTCCACGGGAAAGCCCTGCTGTGTTTTGTTGAGGAAGCATCTGTCAGGAGTTGCCTGCTCCTTTTTCTAGGTCACCTGCCTTCATGGAGCATGTCCTGTCTTGACTGCAGTGTTCTTCAGGCTTCAGACACATTTCTGAGCCAAATGCAAGTGAGAACAACATGTGTCTCACCTTGTTTTTCTGTCCTGTGTGCCTGTGATCATTCCACCAATATCATTTCATAACTCAGTCAAAAGGGGTATGGACTAAGGATTTTATAAAAGAGTTTAAAATTTAATGCTTCTCAAAAGATGTGATGAGAATATTGCCTTGGACCAAAAAAAAAAAAAAAGAAGTATTTGAGTAGATTGAAAAGACTTTTTTTCTTATTGATAATTAAAAAGGAACATGCAGATGTTTAAAGCTGTTTTAAGAGGTCACAGGAGCAAACAAATGAGAAAACAGCTTTGCTTTTCCTCAGACTTTCTTCTGTATTGGCAAGCAGTACTTCTTGGTCCCAGGGTCCTTTTTCTGCCACTGGGAGAACAGATCATGTGTGGATATTAAAAAGTAGTAATTTTTTAATACTCTTTAATAAAGTACATCGAGAAGGATGTATCCTGGAAGCAGCTTGGGCACATTAGTGAACTTAAGGGTGACCTGGGAAGGCTAAAGGAGAAGCAGGAAGGAGGATGAGGAGCTGGAATATCTTGCTGGCAGGTATCTCTCTCTTCAGTATTTTGTACTGCAGGGAAGGGGAGGAAAGGAGCGAGGCTGAAAATGGCAGTTTCCAAAAATGAGAGAGCAAGAGAGAAATGCTGGGGGCCTAAAGTGGTGTGAATGGGAGAGAAAAGCAGAAGGAACTGCTGTGAAGAGAGGCTGTGAGCCATGTTCCAAAGGAAACTGGATGCAGGAGTTGTTGCAGTTGAGTGGTGTGAGGGCTCCTGTGGTGTGTCTGGCTGGCTGAGGGGAGGCAGCAATGCCCTTGGCTGCACTGCAGTATGTTCCTCCCAGGATGAGTGACAGATCGAGTTCACAGGCATGGCAGACACGCTCTGACACGGGGCTTTTATTGACTGAGAGTCAGGCTAGGAAGGGTGTTTGAATACGCCACCAAGTCCTGAAAGAATCCCCTCCCAGCCTCCTGAAGTAAAAACCACCTGAGGAATCAAAGTGTGTCTGAGCAGCGTGACAAGCCTTCTTTATTGCTCCCTGCTCAGGTGGCAGGACTGAGATCTCCCCCACAGTGAGTCCCAGCGCTGCAGGCAGTGACACATCCCTGTCCCCCCTCCAAGTGCCCACACTGATGGCTTTGCAGCCTTGGCAGCTGAACTCTGACCGAGCAGGCACAAAGGACTGTCAGCCTGGATCAGCAGCACCTCAAACATCCTTTCATCTGGCTCTTGCCCTGCCCAGACTGCCTCTGTGCTGCTCTCCCTCCAGAGGGATGGTACCATTCCATCAGTAAAACGAGACCAGCTCTCCAGGCAAGCCACAGACTTTGGCCTCAGGGTAAGAGGCACTGCTCCTTTCAGGGTCTTTCCCTGTTGGAAGTGCAGTCCTTGTTGCAGCAGCTCCTGTCACCTTTGCATCGTGTGGGTTCTTCTAATACACCTTTGTGTAGGTTTTGCTCTTCCCCTCTCTACCACCAGATAGCTCTGTTCTCTCTCCCTTGGGATGAGAGCAACTGGTGGGGAAAATGGTGCCTCTACAGATATTTTCAGTTGCTCAGATGTATCAACAGAGTAGAAGCCCATTTACCATTTGCAAAAAAAAAAACAACAACCAAACCTGGGTGTTTTATATGAAACTGGAAGATTGAATGGGAAGAGAGACAGAAGAAGGGGAGAGCATACAAGCAGTGGCTTTTCTTCTTCTTTTTGATAGCTCTCCCAGATCCATATAAAGATGATGTCACTGTCCCTTTATTTTTCCTGGAAAGACTGTGCTTTTGATATCCATCCAAGATGGGAAAAATGGAGGAAAAAGGGACAAAGGTGCCATGGGCTCACTGTCAGCTGATCACAGCAAGTTTGATGCTTTGGAACTAAGAATTTTATTGTGCATTTACTGCGAGTCATGGGATCTCAGAGGAGACCCAGTGTACGTGGGACTGTCTGAGGGTGATCAGATCAGACGTGGCTTTGGAGGCCAGTGGATCTGAGTTTCAGAGTGCCACCAGGGTGGTGCTGTCCTCACTGGGACACAGCCTTTGCCTCCAGTGGCTTTGGAGGCTTTTCTATGGAGCTTTCATGGTTCTGGTAGAATCTCAGACTTGATGAAGCCCTGCCTAAGCCTGGGCACTCTGCTGCCTAACCCACTCACGGATCAGCTGGTGAGCAATGGCCTGTTTGGGAGGGAACCAGGGTAAAGAACTCCCATCATCTTGTTTTGAAGATCTGGGCTCTCTCTTGAGGCCCTCCACGATTTCCTCCAGGCCAAACCAACGGGCTTCCTCCAGTTCCAGGCTGTCCATACTGATCTGGAAAGAATTCAAGAGCACCAGTCCCTCAAATCAGCTTTAAATGTGGGCAGAGGTACCTTGCTTGCTCTTGTACCCACAAAGATCCTGTGCTGGAATGCCCAGAGTGCTTTATCCGTGCCTGAGGACATTACTGTCCCCCAGTGCTTTGTTGCCTTGGTTTCCCAGGGAAACACTGTTCCATCATGGCATTGGCCTGTGGAGTGGGTCGGCTCCAGGTCCTTTGGTGGGCAAAGGATCCTGACTGAGCCTGCAAAGCACCAGTGGCTGAGCACAGTAATTAACGGGGCAGAATCTGATTGTCCTATGGCAGATGTGATGTTAACACTAGAGAGAACCTCCTCTGCAAAACTGGGTGCTGGACTTGTATGTGTACAGTGACCTTGCAAAATCTGCCACGTCTCCACAGAAAATAGGATTATTTTGAACTTCGTTCTTCCCTTGTAGAGAAAGCTGCATTTAGAGAGGATGTGCTGCTCTCCTCCTAACTAAATTCCGTGGACTGAAGGAGACTTTGCAGTGGAATGCCTCGGGGAGCCCGGGCTCGCTCACCTCAGCCTGCTGTGCTCCCACCAGGGCGTGGCAGCCCAGCATCAGGGAGCCGCTGGGGAAGGGCCAGTGCTGGGACGCCGAGTACCGGAGCGACTCCACCTCCAGCCCCACCTCCTCTGCCACCTCCCGCCGCACCGCCTCCTCCACGGTTTCACCTGCGAGCAACCGAAGGGACGTAAGGACGGCCCGGCCCCCGGGCAGCAAGGAAAACTGCTCATTTCCCAGGGGTTCCAGCCCCTGTGCTGACCTGGAAACGCTCATCAGCAGGATGCTCCATTAAACTCATCAACTCATCTCGTAAACACAGCTACCAGAGAATTTTTTTGGCCCTGTCTACATACAGGACACCTCAACATCTCCCCTTTTAAGCCATTTTCCCTCCTGTAACGAGAGGTCTGTAGTCTTCCTTCCGAGCCAGACTGCACTAACCACAAAATGGACTAAAAAAGTATCAGAGCTTCCAACCTGGGGAGTTTAAAACTTACGTTTACCAGCAGAGACTACAGCAACTGGAGGGACACCTTCCGCTAGACCAGGCTGCTCCAAGCCCCATCCAGCCTGGCCTTGGGCACTTCCAGGGATGGGGACACACATCAGCTGCGCGTCCATCCCTCTCCCTGAACAGGTGTTCCCACACCCTGCAAGCCCAAGGCCACTGCCCTGCCTCGGGGCCCACCTTACCCAGGTCACAGAAGCCCGAGAGCGCCGTGAACATGCCCGGGGGGAAGGAGGGCTGGCGGGCCAGGAGGCAGCGGCTGCCGTTGGACACCAGGGTGATGACCACTGGAGACACCTGCCAAGGGCAGCAGAGAGCAAAGCCACTTCACACCCAACAAGTAAGTGGAAATTGTTGCCTTTCCTGGCTGGTTGAGGGCCACTGGATGACCACTAAAGACAAAGCACCCAGCCACGCACAAAGCCCTCCCACTGCTGCTTGCTGAGTGCCCTCTGTGCCACCCAGAGTCCCTTGTGTTCCTTCCCTCTGCTGTCCAGGCGCTCACCTGGGGGTAGTAGGTGATTCCACTGGCCTGGCAGACACGCTTGCTGCCAGCTGGGTTTTTCTGAGTGGGCTGCCCAGTTTTGCTACAGTACTGGTGGGAATCGTGCCACCGGAGAAGGGACTGGGCCTGCAAACACAGGAGAGAAACACAAACTTTATTTATACCTGTTGCAAAGAGATGACTCAGAGCAGTCTCCCTGGATAATGTTTTGCATGCAATCATGGGGGTGAACTCTGATTGTCTCTGAAAGCCTCAGAAAGGTAAATGAAGTGTGGGCACTGCTTTGAAAAATGGCAGATTTCTGCATTCGATGTTTCCTGCTTCCAAATTTGAGTATGTTTGAGGCAGTGGGGAAGAGTTTTGGGATATAATGGGAGCTGTAATGGGAACTGGACTATTCTAAAGAGTCTCCAGCCCTGAATGTCTTCTTAAAAACATCCCAAGCATCACAAACAGTATAGAGCAGGAAAGGAAACACGAGCTATTTCTCTTTATGGAGAAATCAGGACAGCTGATTTTCACACACAGGGCTTCCAAACAGAGGCCATCTGCAGAGTAACAGCTTACAAATGAGTAGTTTTAAAAGAGCAGCTCTGAGAGAAGCTGTGTGAGTTTGTTTGTGACATTCAGTTTGCCCATATTACAGAAATCTAGTGCCATATAATTGTTGAGCTGAGGACAAAACTGGGATTGCTGGGACTGCTGCTAACACCAGCACATTTCACACTGAACATACAGCAGGTGGATGCTAAATGGCATAAATTGCTGCAAGTCATTTTTAAGTCTGTTTTTCTTTCCTCTGCATCTTGCTTTTGGGATCACAAATTTGGGAAAACTGGTGTAATTTATAGCGTGTCTGTACCCAGGTCCCTGAAAGCGTACAGCAGGTATTTCCACAACATGTATTAGATCATAAAACAACATGGGAGACAAGGAGAAGGGTTGATGTTGGAGATCACAGCTTCTTGAAGGAAGAAGTCCAGTCCAATACCGAAGCCAGCAGAGGAGAATCCTTCCCATCCACCACAAAGAGAGCCTTTCGGAGGTCAGTAAACGATCCCTGCAGTTCAGACTCAATCACTGATTTCTCCAAGGCCCCTGCTAATAATAAAAAATAGAAACAACAACAAAATCTTTGATCTCACAAATTTCAGGTTTTATCCCAGCTTTCCACCCTTCATCGTTCCGGTATACAATTTCTGGAAGTTGCCACGGAAGTGACACCACATCAGGGGTAACATTCCCAAATGTTCAGTGGCTGCCAACAGCCCACCTTCCCTGACAGACACACAGGCACAGGAACAGCAGTGCAGTCCATGGCTGTGACCTGCCTCACTCACACCAGCCCCTGCAGAGCCCCCCCGGCACGTGTCCAGCCCCGGAGCAGGAATTCCGAGCCTCAGCCCAGCCCTCCGTGGCAGTACATGTTCATCCCAGGAACAGGAATGCTGCCTCAGCAGCACCTTCCACTCAGTGCATCCCACTGATGCTGGCACAGATGGAAGAGGAGTTATCCCAACCTAAATCCAGGGCAAAGTGTGGTATGTGCTCATCTGAACAACCGACCAGCACCGACTCCTCCATCCACTGCTCAGCCTCGGGGGATTTCTCCAGGATCCGTCGCATCTCTAAACAGCAGGGAAAGGGAAGAGAAAGCTGGGGTCAAAGCAAATCCATACAACTGGGATGCCCTCTGGATCTTTAAGGCACAGGCAATCTTGGCTCACGTGAGAGAAGGGACCAGACAAGGTCAGTGGTTCTGTCCTACACCAGCCAATACCTTCCTCTTGAAGAAAACTTTTCCTGCCTCACACAAAAAAACCTTCGTCAGTCAGACCTTGCTTGTTTTCCTTTCTCTTCACAAGGCATAATCCCAAATGTTTAAAACTGATCTTCTCAAAACAGATCAGGTTGATACCACATGTGTGTGAAGAGCATGAGCTTGTGTCCACATGCCAAGGTCTTAACTCTAAACAGTCTCTGGTTGTTAACAAACAGAGAGCTGTACACAGCAGGATGTTCCTGCACAGCTCCATGGATTTCCATCCCCTGTATCAGGGCTTGCTTGCAAATGTATCTGCTTCTTTTCAGCTGTGTGATCCAGGAGGGGTTTCTTTCCTTACTTACCTGCTGCACTGAGCTGTGGCACCAAATATTTCTTCCCAGCTTTCTGCAGGAAAGGCGAGAGATTGTGAAAGAGGTAGAAAGTTCCTGAGGTCTGGGCTTGTCTACAAAGACTGTCATCTTCCTTTAGCTTGTTTAAGTATCTGCAGTGAGAAAATGATTGGGAAGGTGAATTCAAGATCAGGTTGAGATTATCAGTGTTATGCTTATTTGGATGCATTGACTTTGCACAGAGCAGGGAGGCTGAGTGGACAGAGCAAGTTTAAGTATTCCACATGCTTTGAGAGTTTTGACAGCTGAGTCACCCTTTGGTGGGCTGCAGCCTCCAGGGAAGGCTGCGTGGCAGAAAACACTGCAGTTCTTACTACCACAGGAACAGCCTCAAGTCTTGGATATCTGAGAAGATCAGTAACCCAGTGTCTCAATCCAAAAAGTCTGCTTTAAAGACATGATCATTTGTGTGCAGGAAACCTTGATCTTCCCTTTTATCCCCCAGTCTGGATGGCTCCAAGTGCTGCTTGGCCAGGCTATTGTGCACGTCACATGTTGGAGACAGTTCCCATCAGGCTACAAACACTCCTGCTGGGTACATTCTGCCTGTCACACTGATGTGAGGGGTAAAGACCAAGCTGAAATCTTAGGGCTTAGAGTGAGGTAGGGCTGTTTGTGACAGTGGGCACGAGTGCCAAGCTCTGGTCTTCTCCCAGAGAAGAACCAGATGAGACCTTACCTCATTTTTCTAACATAGGTGGAGTGTAACCTGCAGAGGAGAGAGGAAGCTCTTCTGTGCAGTGCTTGATAAACTGCAGCCATAGCCAACACCTACAGTTGGGGTCTCAGCCTAAAAGGAGAAGCATAAAATGCAATGCAGCAGCCCTACTGCAATCAAAGTTAAGTTTGATTTAAAAGGTGCAATAACCAGGTAAATCTCCCTCTCCAGAGTCCACAGAATCTGCTTTCTAAATGTACCACTTTGGTTTCAGTCTCCAGTCACACATCAAACCCAGTTTCAGGCCATTTTTAAGGCTGTTTAAAGCTACCTGGGTTTGTTTCCACCCGTGAGCGTGCACAGGTCTTACAGAACTTGCTGTAAGCCTGGATTCAACGTTCCTGTCCCAAACCCCTGTGTCCCTGGGGAAAAGGGCTGCTCTCTTGTTTGCTTCCTACACAGTTGTAATGGCCTGGATCCAACCACACATCCCATTGCAGCACACAGTGGATCTGTGGGAAAGGCATGGATGCCAGAAGGGAATGAAAGGCAAAATATCAGCTGCAGGAGAGAATTCCCTGAGTTTAGACCGGAGACAGCAGTTGCAGCTGAACTGGATCATCTCCAGCTATGGACGTTTTTTGTGCCAAAGGATCCTGCCACATTTGCAGTCGCAGACTTCAGTTTGACCTCGGCTTCAGGATGTCAGGAAATAGCAGAAACTCTACCATCTCTGAGCCAAAAGTGAACTGTGATCCACAGATCTTAATGATTACCCTGGATAGTTCACTTTCCAGCTGTGGAACTCGAAGCCCTTTAAGGAGGAAGTTACGTTTGCTTCGATTTACAGACGCAGAAAGTGCCAGGGAGGAGTCTGAGAGCCTTTCTTTCAGCAAAGGTCAGTGATGGCTCCCTGTGTGCACATGGAGACTTTGCCTTGTGGCTTCGGACGTCTCTGCCCCGGATCCCTCCTTCCCACCGTGTCAGCTGACAGGGATGATCCCTCGGGAGACAGGGGACCCTGTTTGGGAAGCCACTGGGCTGAGGCAGCCGCTGCGAGGACGGCGACTGTCCCAGACCGTGTGTGCCAGGGTTTGGGCAGTGACAGCCGTGTGTGCCAGGGTTTGGGCAGTGACAGCCGTGTGTGCCAGGGTTTGGGCAGTGACAGCCGTGTGTGCCAGGGTTTGGGCAGTGACAGCCGTGTGTGCCAGGGTTTGGGCAGTGACAGCCGTGTGTGCCAGGCTTTGGGCAGTGACAGCCGTGTGTGCCAGGGTTTGGGCAGTGACAGCCGTGTGTCTGCCACTCCTCCACCCCCGCGTCTCCCGCAGCGTGAATTCCCGGCGCGGCAGCAGCGCTGGATGCAGGAGCTCTGCACTTTGCTCTGGAACGAGCGGCACGATGGGGACACGGGGAGCACCTCGTCCGCAGAACTGCCCTCGTTTAACCCCTCCCTCCCTGGGAATCACCGTGCCAGGCTTGGAATCACAGAACCAGTCAGGCTGGAAAAGGTCGTCGAGTCCAGCCTTTGACTGCCCACCACCTCCTCAACTAGGAATCACCGGGAATCCTTCAGCTTAACCCTGGAAGCGTTCCAGCGGGCTGGACAGGGCTGGGAGCAGCCCGGTCTGACGGAGGTGTCCCCGCTCCGGACACGGCACAACCCGCGGGGCTGGGCTGGGAGCTCCCCCCGGCCGGACAGAGCGGAGCTGTGCCCGCCCTTCCCCAGGGATTCCCCACTCACTGCAACTCGTGTCCGGCAGCAGGGACCGCCTGGGAAGGTGCCGGGCTTTGGCCAGCAGCGGGGATCAGCTGGGAACGTCCCGGGGCTCACCTTCCCTCCGCGGAGCGGCTCTGACTGGGCCGGTCGCTCTTCCCGCACTGGGAGCGCTGGGAAATGTAGTTCTGCACAGCCGAGGGCTGGCGCTCCGCTCCGGGGCTGGAATCACTTCTGCAGTTCGCGAGGCTGCCCGAGAGTAAACTCCCTCTATTTTTTTTTTTTTTTTTTTACCCCGCACCTGCTTCGTCCCATCAGCAACCCTGCATTTGGCCGAACAGGAGTTACTGTGACAACAGCGCTTATGCAATAATTTGAGCTGTTCTTAGCACAAGAGTTTGGATCCTGCGAGTATTTTTTTTTTTTTTTTTTTCAATTCCAAGCTTCTCCGGGTTGTGTATCCATAACATAAGAGCACTGTTCAAAGTTAAGGACCATATGTCCTCAAACAGGGAAACGTGCCAGGAGCCGTATAAATCCAAAGGCTGGAGCTGTTCAGTGTTCCAGCACCCAAAGCCACAGCTGGGTTTGTCAGCGAATTTCTCTGATCAGAGAGTGTGCTGTGCCAAGGCACATGTCAGAATAATGACAGATTATTTTCATTCCTTTATAAGTGAACAAACAGATTCCTCTCAAGTACTGAAAACATTATTCTGGGCTGGAACCTACGTGGCTATATTTAGCACAAAGAGAATTCTATAAACATATGAAAGTAAATGTTTTCAGGGCAGCCTTTTACTTTTTGGTCATGAATTGAGCCGTTCTAATCGAGAATTCACGTCACGTAATTTGAGAGCGTGGCTTGTAAAAATAACAAACAAAATATGCAAGGAAACAGGACTCTTAGCAGAATTACTTACAAGTTTAGGTTTAATTATGCCTCACTGCTATTTGTGTGCTTCCTGAGACAGAGCAAGCCAGATCTTATTAATCCACTGGGCTAATTGGATTAATGGACAAAACACATCTTCCCTTAATAAGATAAAGGACTGAAATATAATCTCTAAGGGAAGTATCCACCCTGCTGTTAAAACAAACTAACAGATTTATTGACCCTGACTGGCCCCAGAACTGGGTATTGCGAGAAGAGCTGGTTTTAGAGGGAAGCAGCTGGAGGAGGTACTTTGGACCTCAAATCTTGGGACAGCCTCTCAACCCTGTTCAGCCCCAAGCAGGCAGTGTCTTGGTGAGTGTGGCCTGTCACATGAAGGATTAAAAGCCAGAGCTCTCCACTGCAGTGTCAAGCCTCCTCTGAGGGCAGGGCAGTGTCACAGCCTGTAGTTGGTCCATGAGAGAAAACACATTGATAAGCCCAATCATGTATACCTGGCCTGTGTGCTGGGGCAAGATATGCAGGGAAAATGGGATTAGAGTCACTTCTGCTACTGGGCTGAGCAGTGGGAAGCCAAGCAGCCTGGGAGAGATTCCTTGTGCCTTCTCCAAGGGTCCGTACGTTTATTGCCCTGTTAAATATTTCTGCAGCACATAAGCAGGGGAGATGATTTTGAAACAGAGGCTTTCTTGTCATTCACTCACTTGATCATTTAATTTAAGGAGCACGAATACCAGTTGTTGCTTCAGCACTGAGTTGTTTCTTTGTAAGTATTTTTGGGCTCTGAGTTGTGTGAATTGCACCTATAAACTGTATGTATTAATCCCCTGCAGACACTGCACTCCATGCTAGGAGCAATCCTGAGAGTGAAGGGAAGGCCTGGCCACACAAATGCATCCCTGAGATTTCTGTAGCTTCTAATTTGAGCTTTGGCAGGTCCCCAGAAGAAGTGAATCCCAGAGACTCTCCTGATGCTAGAAGAGCAAACAAAAGGAGCAGGCAAAGAGGACACAAGCAGCAAGGAATGCTTGCCATCTCCTACATGGACAAGATTGCAAACCAGGTAAATCTTTGGTCCTGTGTTGCTAAGATTATTATTTTTTTTAATCTGGGTTTGTAAAATACTCATATTGGGATTAAGCGTTGGTAAAAGATTTTTTTTCAAGCCAAAAAAGTGGCTGGAAAATGTAATTATAGGCTAATAATAGTTATACTACTAATCTCAATTTTTCTCTCTGTTTTGTGTCTTTCCAGCTGCCCCCAATAAGCAGAAATAAGCATCAGAATTGCTAACAGCTGGCCCTTGTAAAACAACTGTTAATTGCCCTAAATACATGAAACTAGCAAATTCACATTGAAAACTCATGGTCAAGCCACGGGAAACCTCTTGGCAAAAAAAGACTTCTTTTTTTTTTTTAAGGACGAGCCTAAGGAAAGACAAACCACTTCTTTAAAGAGAAAGTTAACGAGTAGTCTTCCCCTCTGTCATTAAACTGGCAAACTAAGCCAGCCTGGCTTTTCTCTGAAGTTAGATTTGTGTATGCCACATATATGATGGGCTCCTATGGTTTCTCACACTCAGGGTGGGGACCTTGAAAGAAAGAAACTGCCTAATTTGATCTGCTGATTACATCCTGTGCTCCTGAGCCCTGGACAGGGGGAGAGGGGACACTTGAACATCCGAGTGGCATTTTCCTGGGATTTGTTTCAGGTCACGTATGAGTTCTGTCTTTTCCTCTCCCTTGGTGCTGCTGTTGGTTATGGAATATCCTCAAACTCTGGGGGCTGACTTGCACTGCACAAAATAACTGGTGGCAGAACGTTGACTGCAGGTGATGGCTTTGTTTTGGGAGCAGACTGGTGGGAAACTAGATCTCTCTACAAAGGGTGAAACCTCAGCTGTGGATACACCTTAAAAAAAAATAGCTAAGCTTTTTGAGCTAATGGGTTGACATAAAAGTGATAAAAAGTCATTTATATGACTCACCTGTGTCTTAAAATTGCCTGCAGTTCACGGCCTGTCGTCCCCAAAAGGATACTGGAGATCTGGAAAAGGTTCCAAGAGGGCAACAAGCATGATTAAAGGCTTGGCCACGGCAAGGAACTAGATGGGCTCTGACTTCAGCCTGGGTAAGTCAGCTGTAGACCAAACCTATCAGTCTGGAGCCTTCAGCCCCATGCTGAGCAACACAGCCCTCAAACGTGCTCGTTGTTCTCCACTGCCTGCCTTGCTTCCTGAAAATGTCTGGATAGTGCAAAAGATGCTGAGGAAGCAGCAGATCTCACTAGAAAAAATCTGAATGTGCCTCTCCAGTGTGGGAGGTTTTGCCAAATCTCTGGAAGCTGCTGTTAAATCTCTGGCTACACGTTATGGACTCTTTGGATAATGGGGCTTTAACTAGATGCCTCAGCTAGAAGCTTGGATATCATTCCAGTGTTTCCTGCTACAACTTGTAGGAGTTGTATTTCTGTTGGAAGGCGACCAAAACAAGAGGAAAGGAAGGCTTATTTTTTGACGGATAGTTCCACTTAAAACTGGCCTTATTCCTGCTCTGGAGCAGCAGCTCTCGCAGTGCTGGCCCTGTGTGGACACATCTGTGTCCACAGCTGGACGAGAAAGGACTGAATTCATTTCATATCTCAGAGCCTCCCCCAAAATGGGACATAACACCTGGGGTTTGCCCTTCCCAAAGAATTGCTGAGGGAGTTGGAGCTGAGGGAACAGTTTAGGGAAGAAATCTTAGTTATGGATCATGCTGCAACCTCCAGTTCCCTCTGCTGAGCGAGGTGGGTTTAAGCCAGTTCAGTCATCCCAGTAAAGAAGGTGTGTTAGAGGGGGATTTTGACCCCTGTTATGGGGGATTCGACCTCTCCCTGTTCTTGTTGTGAAAGATTTCCAGCTGGGAGTGACCAAAAATGTCTGCCTTAGGAGGAGGAAGACTGAAGGCTGGTTAGGCTACTGAGGAGGTGATTCATTATTTGCAGCCCAGATCTAAAGAGAAAGTTAAAAATGCTTATGAGTGTCCCTGATTCCAACTTAATTGCTGGAATGAACAAATAACTGGAATCCTAGAAAACAATGAGCAGTCAGCATTGACCTGTCCTGGCAAGACACATCCAGGCAGCTTATTAATGCCTTTCTGTGATAGCTGGGACTCCTGCTGTACCAGAGTGGGTGAGGGCTGATAGTGGTTTGTGATACAGGTTTTGCTGCTGCCTTGCAAACTGCTTTTGGGATCAGTTGAGATGGAAGCCCTGGAAGGAAGGGGGAGGCTGCTTCAGCAACAGCACTGGAGGAAGGCACCCATCAGTGTGGAAATCTCTTCACCTGGGCTGGCAGGAGAAGGTGAGTGAAAGGCTTGGTTGGTGGGACAGAAAGTGTGCTGTGAAATGCAGCAGATGGCACTGGTAGGAGAGAGGGAGGTGCAAGGCTGCTTTGGAATCATAATTATCCATAGAAATTAAAGCAGCAGTCAGAGAGAGGGGACACAAGACTCTGTCTCAGAAAGAAATGAGAATCTGTGCAGATTCAGAATCTGGGCACAATTGAGTTGCACAACCAAATTGTGCAGCTGGTGTGAATCACCGTGGTCAGGGAGCTGATCCCCTCCTGGAAGGGGGACTTGGGCTTGTGGGGCTCAGGCCTGGGCTCTGCCAGGATCTCCTGGGAAACAGGGACACTGCTGGAGGTGGGAGGTGAAATCATAGAATCATAAAATCATAGAAAAAAAAATATCCTGAGCTGGAAGGGACCCGTCAGGATCATCGAGTCCAACTCCTGGTCCTGCAGAGGGCACCCCCAGAACTCCACCGTGTGCCTGAGAGTGGTGTGGCATGGCCCTTGGCAGGGTGGGCACCATGATCCCAGGGGTCTTTTCCAACCTGATTGATTGGGACCCCGGGCTCAGCTGCCCTGGGGCTGGGCAGGGCTGCACGTGGTGTCTCCCGGCCTTTTAGGCCTTTCCTGGCAACTTTTACTCCAACCCCCGCCACTTTCAGCTAAACCCTTTCACGTTTCTTGTCTCCGTGTTGATTTGCACTCCCCGCCCCGCTGTCCCGCCGGTGCCGGTAGAGCCACACCCCCATGTGTTGCCCCCTGTGTCTGGTGTCATTCGTGTTGTCAAGGTGTCCCCCCGTGTCCAGTGTTCCCCATGTCGGGGTGTCCCCTGTGTCCGGATGTCCAGTGTCCCTCCCGGTGTCCCCCGTGTCCTGTCCGGTGTCCCCCCCTGTGTCCCCGTGTCTACCCCCGTGTCCTAGTGTCCCCCGTGTCGGGGTGTCCCCTGTGTCCGGATGTCCAGCGTTCCCCCTCGTGTCCGGTTTCTCCCCCGTGTCCCGGTGTCCCCCATGTCCTGGTGTCCCTCCCGGTGTCCCCCGCCGTGTCTCGTGTCCCCCCATGTCCCGGTGTCCCTGCTGGTGTCCCCCCGTGTCCGGTGTCCCCCCGTGTCCGGTGTCCCTGCGGTGTCCCCCCGTGTCCGGTGTCCCTGCCGGTGTCCCCCCGTGTCCGGTGTCCTTGCCGGTGTCCTCCCCGTGCCCGATGTCCCCCCGTGTCCAGTGTCCCTGCCGGTGTCCCCGTGTCCGATGGCGGCGGCCCGGTGGGACCCACGTGGAGCCCCGTGCGGCGCATGCGCGGTGCGGCGGCCGCTGCTGTGACCGGGCTCACGTAGCGCGCGGGGCGCCCCGCCCCGGGGGGCGCGGCCTGAGGGGGCGTGCCCGGCGAACCCATAAAAGGCGCGGCGGGGCGGTCGCGCGCTCAGTGTGAGAAGCCCCCGGGCAGGACGCGGAGCTTCCGCAGCGGTGCCGCCCCCGCCCCGCCGCCCCCCGCGCTCAGTGTGAGAAGCCCCCGGGCAGGACGCGGAGCTCCCGCAGCGGTGCCGCCCCCGCCCCGCCGCCCCCCGCGCTCAGGTGAGGCCTGCCCGCCCCCGCCGCGCTGTGGGCGGGTGGGGTGGGTCAGCTGAGGGCAGCGCCGCGGGTCCGGCCGCTGCGCGGGCGGGCGTGGGTGGGTGGGGGCGATACGTGGCAGAGCTCCGCCGCCGCCCCCCGCCCCCGCGGCGAGGGGTCCCGGCGCTCCCGGCCCCGTGCTCCCGGCCCTTACGTAACGGGACCGGCAGCCTCCGGAGGGGGGCGGGAGGGCGCCGCCGCGCCGGCTTCCCCGCGCCTGGCAGACTAAACACAGCCGCCGCCTCCTCCTTCTCCGCGTCCTCCCCCGCCCGCTCCCCGAGCGCCCTCGGGCCGAGCACCCCCGGCTCGGCTCCGCCGCCCTCCGCGGCCCCCGGCCCGTGCGGCCCCCGGCGCGGGGAGCGCTCTGCCGGCACGGGCGGGTGGGTGCTCGGCCGGAGCGCTGCGTGCGGGGATTGCACCGCGAGGGATGGGGCTGCTCCGCGTTTGCCTCCCCGCTGCTTCCCGGCCACTCGCTTTGTGTGGAATTGCGCGCCCACCTTTGCCGGCAGCCCTTGCCCTTCAGCGTGTGTGTTTTGATAGGATCTAACCCTGACCGGGAGGAGAAACTCCCGACGTGGAGTCTTTGAGCGCTGCTGGTGAATAGAATAAAGAAAATAAAAATGTCACATGTACTTATTCCAGTTTACCTGAAAAGTAAGGATCCCTCAGGATCGCAGACACCAGCATTCGGTTTCGCTTTGGTTTTCCTGCTGACTTCAGTAAGAGGAGAATGCAGAGTGCTTGAAGTGTTCACCTACCTGTGATAAGCGAAGGTTCAGCGCTCAAGGGTTTAGTGAATGAAAGAAACCATTGGTTACAAGAATAAATAAATGCAGCTTCCCACAAAGCCAGGGGCTGTTGGCTGAGTGTGCCGACAGTGCTCTGCCAGGGGCGGAAAGTCAAGGTAATGAGTTCCTGGTCTGTCTGGGAAGCAGAGGCCTCCTGTTGGGTCAGAGATGTTCTCTGCCCTACTGCTCTACCCTTGGACCACTGCTGGATCCGTTTTAATGCCTTAAACCACACTGCCAAGCGTTTCATTTGACCTGGAGTACTCTGCACTGCTCCTTAGGTATGTGCTGACACAACCAGGACTGATTAACTTTCTTCTCTCTTTGTTTTCTTCCCCGAGCCAGCTCTCTGACCGGTAGAGGTTTAAATGTTGTTCCATAACGAATAGGTTTAAATTCTGGCATTTAAAGCTGTGATTTCAGGGCTTGCACATAGATTGGAAAATTCCCAGTGCAGTTTGACAAACGGAAATGACAGGTAGTGAGTTAACTCTGGAAGGAGTGAGGATAAATAGAGGTTTATGGGAGGAAAACTCTGCCTCCATGCTGAGATTGATAGGGGCAAGGAAACTCCTTTTCTTCATAAGAGTATACTCCTTGAAAAAAACTGACTTC